CTCAGAGTTTTTCCTCAGCCTGATCCTTTAGATCGATAAGGCAGGGAGACGCCCACATGCCAAAGCAGGTCTTCAAGGGGCAGGCTGGTGGGGGGGGACCGGTTTACCTGCCTCCCCTAACTTTTTCTCCCTCCCACTGTCCTCCCTGCTCCCCGCGGGTGCTGATAATAGGCTTCGGCCCACACTGAGCGTGGTGGGTGTGCAGGAGATAAGTGCACACACACGCATACACACACACTACTGAACGTTGCGCTCCAGCCCGGCTTCCTGTGAATGTCTGCGTCAGAATGAGGGTGACACTTGGCGGCAGATCAACATCCTCTTTCGCTTTTGAGGTTGCCAACTTAGGGTGCCTTTTCTGCACCTATGGGATCATTTTTTCTCATATTTTCTTGTCCAGCTCTAAGCAGCTGAATTTTGGGAAGCCAACCTGAGTCACATGTTGCTGTGAAACCCTGCAGTGATCCTTACCCTTCTGTTTCTTTATATTTAGTCATGCTAACAGCTCTCTCACCCTGCAGCTCACAACCGGCAGCCCACTGCAGCTCAGCAGGTGTGAGCCTGGTCAGTACCTGGATGGGAGACCTCCTGGGAAGGCTAAGGTTGCTGCTGCAAAAGGTGTTAGTGGGGCCAGCAGGGGGCGCTCACCCTGCGGTCTGTGTGGGTCCTAATGCCCCAGTATAGTGACGGGGACACTATACTGTAAACAGGCGCTGTCCTTCAGATGAAATGTAAAAATGAGGTCCTGACTCTCTGTGGTCATTAAAAATCCTAGGGCATTTCTTGAAATAAGTAGGGGTGATACCCCGGCACCCCGGCCGAATTTCCCCCTGGCCTTTACCAATCACGGCCTCCTAATAATCCCCATCTCTGAACTGGCTTCATCAGTCTGTTCTCCTCCCCACTCAGGTGTGTGGTGGGTGGTGAGTGTTCTGGCGCACCAGGTGGGGTTACACATTGGTGGTGGTGGTGGAGGAGAGTCCCCATTAACCTGTATTTATAATAATAATATTCTAGGAGTTTCCGTTTTTGTACCATACAGAACATGAGGACAATCTGGAGACACCATGAGGGAACTACAGAGAATGCATTGACAGATTGTACAGCTAATTGGTGCTTATTCAGGCTCTTATAAGTAAGCATGTTAAATATGCAAAGCTAGGAAAATTGGGCATTTTACCAGCAGCTGGAATCTAAAGAGCACAGCAAAAAGGTGTCAATTACATTGAATTCTAATCTTACAAGGCTCAGAGCCACAGGTCCTGAAGTCTCAAGTGGCTGCAACCCGTTACAGAAATTATTTATTTTGCTTAAGTTAATTGATTGAAGGCTTAAGAAATAGGCAATGCTGTAACCCTCCTCTTCCTGCTAACCGTGTAACGTCAGTCACCATGACATTAGGTTTTGCTGTGCTTATAGCCCTCCTGAGCTCTCAGAGATTAAGCTGATTTGTCGCGCATTCAGTCCATGATGCCCTGAACACAGCTGTTAATATTTACATGATAAACGAGGAAGCCAAGATAGCTCAATGTGCTAAAACCCTGACTTAGCTGTCTTCATGTTTCACGGGTTCAAATCCAACCTCCAGCTTTCTAAAATTACAACTGGCTGTATTTACATGTCGTAAGAGTCCTGATTATAAAGTGGTTTTGCATCATTCTACAACAGACCACTCTGCTTTAAGCCAGTAGTAGAACACTGCTCTCTTTTTCATTGTATCGCCTGTAGCACAGCTTGTGATATTTGGATGATAAGGCCAAGTACAATATCCGCCCAGGCTGCTCATTGTGTCTGCTGCAGATGTGATGGGCAGATGCACCCTGCAAGCAGGGAAAAATGCCTCTGACTGCACCCTGGGGGTGTGCAGGTTACAGGTACTTTGCTTCTGGTCTGTGCACCTGATAAGCAGCACAGTGGCCACAATCCTACTGTTAGCTCTCCCAGACACAGTCAGGAATGCAGGGAAATCATTTGTACAATTAGATAAACAAGATGGTTTATAATGGAGCAAATCACTAAAGAAGAGAAGGTCAGTTTTGATTGAGTGATCAGATAAATTGGTCCTGAGGCGCCAATAAAAGGACATTAGTGCCACAGACACATTACTAAGACCTTCCCTAATTAATTATTTATCAAACCACCCATTTTGTAGCAACACTAATGTACCGCCCTCTCATCTCTTTGTGTTTTTCTCTGATTTCCCCATTTAAAAGGAAGTCCTCATGTAGTGATCCTTTTTTTTGTATTCGAACAGCCTAGGTTTCCCATGAATTATAACAAACACAGTACAAAAATAAAAGCTGGCTCTTCCATGCAAAACTATTCACGTATTGAGACCAGACACAACCCACAATGTGACCTGTCTTTTAGAAGTGCAAATGTTTGTTTGTTATTATGCAATAACATCCTCTAGCAAAGCACTAATAAGGAGGGGGGGACATTCCTGGCATTGCAGGCCTTCACATTATGCAAAGGCAGCAGTGGGCTAACACCTCTGTGTGATTGGATCAGCAGTTCTGCTCTGCTGTTTTGCAGCCCATTCCTGGCACATAATCTGATTTGAGCCCCCGGGCGCAGATTTAGTCGAATGCATTTGCAGTGCTGGATCAGCAGTAACCCAGCTGTGCACACAGGGTCAGTGAAGAGTCTGGCCAGGCCTGCTGGGTGCAGCTCCAGAGCACACAGGTTCTCCTTCCACATGCCCGGTTAGGTGTCCTGGAAAAGCACCCCATTGTCCTGCGTCATGGGCACCCCTCCTCATCAGCTTCCTAATCGGGGTCTCTCCGCTGGTGGACAGCCGTACTGGTGGAATGTTCCTTCTGTCTACATGAGCGCTGTGTTCTTCATAAACTACATCCATTCATCCGTTTTCCAAGTGCCTTGTCCAATTCAGTGTTGTGGGGGAGCCGGAGTCTATCCCAGCATGCAACAAGTGCAAGGAAGGATACACCCTGAATGGGACACCAGTCGATCTCACAAACACACACACACCAATATTCCCAGGTGCCAGTTAACCTACCAGCATGTCTATGGGCTGTGGGAGGAAACCCATGTGAACACTGGGAGACCATCCAAACTCCATGCAGACGGCAGCCGAGGTCCCCAATTGAACCCAGAGCCCCAGCGCCTCGCTGCAGCACTCCTATGTGCTGTGCCTTTGTCCCGCCATCCCATTCCTACCAACAGAGCACTGCCTGTAGCCCCACAGACTGTGCTGGCTGTCATGGGACCCAGCCACCCCCCCACCGCCAGAAAGGTACACTTTAGACAAGAATAACCTGCATGTCCTGCCAGCTGTGAGGCTGTTCCGTTCGCTGCCAAGCCCCTGGGACACCTCAGTGAGCTTTGGAGCTGTAATGGCTCAATGATTCTTTGCATTAACACGCCAGATCATCCCCAAGGATTATGAAGCACTTTGCATACGGAAGGGGGCCCACCTGACCCGTCGCTGGAGTGCCGGCGTCTCAGGGAGAAGAGCCCCTTCTCTAAGAATTGGGCTGGCCCAGTCTGGTCTCCCCAAAGCTTCCCCTTCCTTCAGCTGCCCATTCTCGGCCTGTCTGACCGACCTGGGGCTACAGGTGCAGGATGGCTGCTCTGTCCCAAATGCAGCTGTGTATGAAGAGGGCTCCCTCCTGGACGCTAAGCATTCTCTGCAGACACGCAAGGAATTATTCTGAATCATTGTTCAAAACCATACTCCTTTAATGATATGTCATCCGTTCCTTAGCTCGTTCTGTTTTTTTGTCCTAGAGCACCCAGAGGTTGCCTCAATCGAGGAATGAGAGTTTTTCCTGTCCGGATTTAAAGGCGACTCGAAAGGCCCTAGTCTTGTGCCAGGCTGGAGCCCGATTGAACTCGGCGAGCGGAGTGTGTGCCGTCTACCTCCGCCGCTCCTCCGCAGGCTGCTCCCCTCCGGGAGCGGGTGGGCGAGATTTTCACTCGCCGTTTTTATAGTTTCACGCACAGCTCTGACGCCACATGACAGCTCCGTCAGTCGGGTTGCGTTACGGGGCCAGATCAGCAGTTTCTGTTTCAAGACGGTCGAGTGACTTTCTCTAACAAGTCATGTATTGCATTTCGACATAGCTGGTATGATGACATATTGCCTCCTTGTACCTGCGGTACCTACCAAGGCAGCCCGGAGAAAAACAGAACAGCAATAATGATCTCATTCAACAAGATTCGACAGAGAATCTCATTATTCTGAAAAGGCGTTATTGATTCTTGAGAAACAGTACTTTCAGGGAACCCACGCTCAAAATCGAATTGTTCCTCGGCGATAAAGTACTCAGTGTGAGGTTTCATTTGAGCTCCAGCAGCGCTCAATCCGTGCTGCTGCTGGGACGCGCGTAACTCCGCCGCGCGTGGGTGTGCGGGAGGACTTTATCCTCCTTCCTCGCAAGAGCCCGTTCAAAACTGAGTCACGAGTGGCCAGCGAGGAAGAAGAAGTGTCCTAACTTAAAGGAGAACAAGCAGCGTGGAGCAGTGGTCTGAAGGGGGAGGGGTACTTCAATCATTTCTTCAGTCAATAACTCCCCCGCGTGGGTTACGTGGGTACCCCGCAGGTCGCCAATGTGAGATATTTTATTTGGTTATTATGTGCAGAATAAATACAGTCTTTAAGTAGGTTTATTCTCGCTCCTCTCCATTTAGTTTTCCGACCGGGTTACGAATCACGCCTCAGGAGCTACGACGCGTCTTCTGGGAGGGTCCCCCTCAGTCTTGGGCGTGTAGAAAAGCTTTTTTTAATAATCTGGGCTGAAGTCCAACCCAGAGCTCTTTTTTTTTTTACTTCTTTACCACAACGCAGAAGCCGGGGCAGGCACTGCGGATCTGACAGCGAACCACTTTTGTTTCTGAGTTTTTTTTTCAGTTCCTGTGTGCTGTTTCTACCGCTACGAAATCTAAACACTTGCTTTTGCAGGAAAGGGAACAACTGACGACGCTTATCTGCCGATCAAGGTAATAGTATTGTCACTTCGATTTTTTTTTTGTCTTTTCCGACGCAGTTCGCTGTGCGTTTCCCTAAACGAATAATTGCTTAGTAGTCGCGTTTAGGTCTCTCCCGTCTCCTCTAGATCTGTCATTTTGTGATAGCAAAGATTAAGGGAAATCCGAAATATGTGTGTGCTTTCATTAGGCGTTTGTTTCCCAAAAAAACCGTAACGGACGACGTCTAGTTCGCGAATACCCATCTGTATTAAAGCAGTGGATGTATGTGTGTCGAGCTGATTTCAGTACAGTGTTGGGAGAATCGGACTTGAAGCGCAGCTCGGAAGAGAGATGAAGTAAATTTAGCGGCCGGGGAGGAAGATACAAAGTTTGATAACAACAGATTCACCACAATTCATCTGGGAGAAATCTAGCGTTTTAAAAGTCTTTCGAAATTGTCTTTTTTTGTTTGGATTCAGTTCTCCGTAACATCGCACTTGTTCACAGCCCGGGTCTGGTCAATGAACCGCTCTCACAGCAGACGGAGCGCCGTCTCTCGCTGTCGAGAGCCGGCGGCCGGAGTAACCGGCTCATCTGGTCTGCTTTACAGGTGTTGTGTCATTTCGAGCTCTCTTTAGCTTGAATTACAAGCCGAGGGTTTGGAGCCTGCGGGGAGTTACTAAAACAGTATTTTAATCTCCACAACATGGCTGTAAAAATAATGTTTACCTTCGAATGCGCTCATCCTCGACTTGCAACGCGGCGTGTCCCTGCCGAAAACAACCTGGAGGTTTGTATAGAAATGACCCGATTCTCTCTACTGTATAGATCTGAATTAATGTAAATACATTTTCCATACAGAGACTGGGTAGATTTCTACAGAATCATGTAGACCATCTTTAGGCTTTTTTTTTGTAACTGGGTTTATTTTACCCTACGTTTTTAATCTCCGGGCTTGTTTTGGACAGTTTTACGAATCCGTTCACAAAATTTACACCTGTCGACGGCGATAATGCTTGTGCACCATAAATGTAACTGTAATGTAAGAATACATTGTCAAAAATCATTATTATTCTTCGATTGATGCTTGAAATAAAAAAACATTCTTGCAATTTTGTGTCCCTCGGTGTATAACCTTCTTCTCCTGTATGTCAACACCGGTTTTAGCTTGGATGGGTTTGATGGATTAATATATTGGGAACTCCCATTTCCTCTGTTTGCGTTGAGGGAAAACTAATTTCCTGGGACACATGCTTGCCGGTGTGGTGCCATCGTAAACCCAGCTTGTCTCCCTAGCTTGGGTATGGTGCAGAGACTGCCTGAGCTGAGCCCTGTCCCGAGGAGAACTCTTAATAGGCACCATTCCTTTCAGTTCAATTCAACATAATGTATTCATCCCCCAAGGATGCAATTTAAGAATATAAGAATTTGTCACCCCTCGTGTTGCTGTACAGTAGCTGAGCTCCCACTATCTTCCTTATCAGATTTGTGGTTAACTTGTCTTTGATTGTGTACCGCATCCCCTGGTTGTTTATCTAATGGTTATCAAGATGACAAAATTGTAATATTAAAGTGACTGTCTGTGGGGGGGTGGAGGGGGAACAAATCAATGAACAGAGACAAACAGCAGAAAAATTCCCCGTGTGTCGGTGGTCTTGCGGTCCACATTGTCACTATGTATGGACCCGTGGGGCTGAGCCTCACTGGCAGGAAAGGCACTAGGCACCCTCCTGCTGTCCGTCTGTGAGACGTGCTTGATTTGTACACCCTGAGAAGGGAGCAGTTTTCACTATGGTCAAAGCTTTGGACAGTGCAGCCTAGAGAACACCGCTCTGGAGCGGCATCACTGGACGTCAGGGACACATCGCGGTGTCTGCACTCAGACATTTCATTTGACCCGTTTAAGGGTTTCTGGGACAGAACGGACGCGTTGGGCGTTTGGTTACAGTAGGCTCCAGCATTGCATTGTATTTCGGCAGCACAGGCACCCCACTCCCAGCCCTGGGTGGGTAGCAATGGGGTGTCATAGCAGGGATGGCACTGAACCCCACTTTCTTCTGGGTGGAAACAAGAACTCCCCTGGGCCAGGCAGTGGACTGATGAGAGATACGATAGATACTTTATGGAAATACTCGAAAGTCAGGGTCACCCAAACGCCAAGTTTTCTCTGATTTACGTTTCAGTGGAAAACTGACGATACTTAGCCTTATAGAATTGTTAATGAAACTATATTCCTCATTAAGCATTTCTAAAGATTTAATTTGATAAGATCGTTTTTCTGTATCGTGAGACTTGCTAAAGCTTTATGTATTTTTCCAGGAGGAATTCCGTTTCTGTCCTCCTCTTGTTTTAAACAGCCTGTTGGTCTTCATTCCCTCTCGGAAACGGAGCGCAGGTGCTGGCGTTAAATGCCTCCATGACTTTTTTAAGAGGTGAAAACAGTTAAAAAAAAAACATTAGCAAGGGGGCTCAATTAAAGGCTTTGTCTGATGTGCGTTATTAAAACTTCAGCTGTGATGAAACCCAGAGGCTGTGGCGGTTGCTTTGCGTTCCTTGCAGTCATGCTAGAGTGTTAATGGTTTTTTTCCTGGCGTGTGACGGTATCCGCTCTGCTGTAGGCGTCCTCCGCAGGCCGCCCTCTGCCCTCTGCTCTGTCATTCCGTGTCCTGTGATGTGTTTCACCTTGACTGCGCATCAGGCCCGGCAGCTTCCAGTCCCTCGTCGCTCACGCTGAGCTGCCCTCCTTGACACAAGTGGTTAAATTAACAGCTTTCAGCGTTAATGACTCATAATCCCCAGGCATGCCAAATAAGGTTAGAAAACTTGAGTGAAAAGAGGTGCTGTGAGGGTTTCATTCGCCTTTTTTTAAAACAGAAAAATCCATTCCCCATTTCTCGTCTTACAATGCTGCCGAGCGATAAGCACCTGGTGGCCACAGTACAAAAAAAGAAGGTTGCTTCCACGGTACTATTTCTTAGAAAGAAATCCGGAATAATTATCGGCCTGCTCTCCAAGGGTTAAAGTCGCCAAATCTCTTTAGTCTTTGATGCAAGGCGATTGCAAAGAGGGGGGGGTTCGGGTCCTTGGAGATCTGGGGGGACATCGACCTGCAGGACTGCTTTAGGCTCGACACTGAAATGCGGACCCCAGGCTCACAGCTCGGAGGAAACCCGAATCCGGAGGAAGTACATTCCGGGTTGAAAAGGAAGGCTCCTGTCCTGACATGGAGTTTCAGGCTCGTCCAGCGCCAGCCACCTGCCGCGAGGGGATCCTTCCTGGCCGGACTGGGCCGGGACTCCTGGAATAGCTTAGCAAGTGGAAATGAAACGGGCAGCTCGTGAGAGACATATCCCTCCATGCTCTGAAAGGGCACGTCTTCGGCTTTGGGATGGAAATGGCTTTTGTCAGATTGCCACGAGCTCCAGAATAACACGGGTTTGCATCTGGAGAAGCTCCCGACAGGGCCAACAAGTAAGCATTC